GCCTGATTCTAGGAAACCATCAACCATTTTACTAGGGTGTAATTCAAGGATCAGAGAGCTTACTAGGGGAACCCACTGCCATTCCAGATGGGTCCAACCAGTGTACCAATTCATTTGAAAGATAGTAATATACTTCTTACTTCAAGGAAAAGACAAGGCTAGAGAATCTAACCAAACAAGAAAGGGCTAGAGAATTTAATCTATGTGGGTCCGGTGCCCTGAAAGTTCCCTAGGGTTGGGACGTGTCTAAGGGCAGCAAATTCTTGTATAACATCCTAAAGTATCAGCACAGACTTAGTACTTACAAACCTAAAAGCAGGGGCAGCTAGATGGTGTAGTAGATAGAGCACCAGCCCTAGATTCAGGAGGACCTGAGTTCAAATCCAGCCTCAGACACATAACACTTACTAGCTGTGTGACCCTGGGCAAGTCACTTAACCCCATTGCCTAACCAAACAAAAAAAAATTATAATAATAATAAACCTAAAAGCAGAGTTCACGAATTCTGATAGAGAACTCAAGGAGTGAAAGAGTCTGAAGCCTGAAGGAAATGGAGGATCAGATGATAGGGGATAGGTAGTACTTTTCAGATCACTTCTCAAAGAGTATCATCACTTTAAAGAATAGACCAAACAGATTTTAGTGGCTTAGGAAGCTTTCATTGATAGGCCTCAGTGGAAAGAGGGTTCTGTCCTGCTACACCATACCCCACAACACTTTCCCAGAAGGACCTGATGTAAGCAATGGCTTCTATCTACCTGGTTCTAGCTGTAACGTCTCCTTCCACCCCACATGTATACACACACACACACACACACACACACACACACACACACGTACCAGGGTCTAATGCCTTTTTAAAAAAGGATCTCTTGGGTCTCCTTGTCCTGAGGTTCTTGTCTCTCTGCACACATACCTCCTCCCAGTCTATCCCATGTCTCCTGAGGGTCACAGAGGCCAATACCCCAGAGACTAGGGGGTCAGCCAAAGTAGGAGGGAAGGAAATAAAATGAGGTTGACTATAAATGAAACCCAGAAAGGAGACCAGGATAGCAGCACCACAGAGGGCCTGGCAGTCAGGAAGGATTCTAGGGACTCTGAGACCACTGCTTGGATCAGTGCCCAGCAAGGATGCCCAGAAAAGTGCCCAGCCACCCCAGTTAAGGGATGCAACATTATAATGTTCTCTGGAAGGAAAAGGTGGCTTTTTTAAAATACAGAGACATTTTAGAAGCTCAGGGGGAGATTTAAAACCGTAAGGGATGGAGGAAGAGGGGAGGGATGTGAGCCTGTTAAAAACTCCAACACTGGCCTAGGAGGGAAATCTAAGAATTGAAAAATATCTAAGGCAAGGGAGGGGGGAGGAGAAAAATTAAGTGAGAAGGCAAGGGTCTAAGGCAGGCCTACCCAACCTGTGGCCTGCCGGCCACTTTCAGTACACCAAAGTATTTTGGGTGGCCAGCAAAAAATATAGAGGTTGTTTTCCTCTACATTTTTCACAGGCCAGGCCACCCAAAATCTGTTTTCCTCTATGTTTTTCACAGCTGCCTGAAATCCTCTGGTGTGCCGAAAGTGGCATGCAGGCCATGAGTTGTGCAGGCCTGGTCTAAGGGCTGAACCAGCAAAACAGAAGACTCTGACTTGGGTTCAAGTGAGGCTATGTCAAAAGGGGAGGTAGGGCTATTGTCTGGGACCTGTCCTTGCATCAAGTGGTAGGAAAGGAAAGGTTACCTATGCATCCAATACAGTGGAAAAGAGCACTGGGTTTGGAGTCAGAGGATAGAAATCTAGGCCTGTTGTTTACTATTTATATGACCTTGGGCATGTCATTTAATTTATAAATGGCCTCTGTTTCTCCATCTGTAAAATGAAGGAGTTGGACCAGATAATAGTCAAGGTTCCTTGCAGCTTAAAGTGTGCACCCTCCCTTCCCTGCTTTATAACCAGATTCTCCTATCCTCATCCGACTCCCAAGGGAAACTGAAAGAGGTCACACAAAATGGAGCCAAGCACACCTCCCCACAAGTCAGTTCGGGGAGTTATTATGGATCAAAAACAGTAGGACTATGGGAGAGAAAAGTCAAGCACACCAATCCATTTCAGACAACTAGGTGGTGTGGTAGATTGAAAGCTGAACATGGAGTCAAAAGCCCCTGAGTTCAAATCCTATCTTGGACATTTATTAGCTAGTGACCCTAGGCCAGTTATTTGACTTTAGTCAGGCTTGGTTTTTTCATCTGTAAAAAAAAAAAGGTAATGGAACAAATGATGTCTACAATTCCTTTCATCTTTCAATCTGTGACCCTTTGATTCAAAGTCTTGAACAGAATAATCCAGAGGACTTTATAGAACCTCAGCATTGGAAGGGATGTGAGAGGTCTAATCATATCTGAAAAGGAATTCTTTCTAGAGCATCCCTGGCAAGTGGTCATTCAGCTACCACCTGAAGACATTCAGTGATGAGGGATTCACTGTCTTCTGAAGAAGGACTTTAATTTAAAAACACTTGCATGTCCTTCTGCCTCACAACTTTCCCTAATACATTCTGTTCCCATAAAATCCAGGGAAAACAAGGGAAACTGCATGCTACCCAGTTACCTCCTGAGGAAGGTGCCAAGCAAGTAATGGCAATCTAACTCAAACATACTACAGTTACCCTGAGCCCAGACCCACCATTATGGAGAAGAGGATGTAACTGATGCTGAAGGGTGGGGCAAAGAGAATAAAATTAGGGGGAAAGGGACAAGAAGGATGGACTGGAAGGCCTCCATCAGCTAGACAGCCAATAAATATTTATTAGGTGCTTATTATGTACCAGGCAGCTAGATGACATGGTGGGTAGTAGTAGGCCTGAAGTCAGGAAGACTCTTCTTCCTGAGTTCAAATCTGGCCTCAGATACTTACTAGGTGTGTGACCCTGGGAAAGTCACTTAACTCTGTTTGACTTAGTTTTCTCATCTCTAAAATGAGCTAGAGTAGGAAATGGCAACCCACTTCAATATCTTTGCCAAGTAAACCCACAAGGGGGTCACAAAGAGTCAAACATGACTGAAATGACACAACAACAACAATTATGTACCAGGCACTGTGCTGTGTGCTGGGGATAAAAGAAAAAAACAAAAATACAATCCCTGCCCTCAAAGAACTCACTAACGGTGGAAACAATATACAAATCACTATGTAGTGTGAGGAGAAGATCATCTCTGAGGTAAGCAATTAGCAGTCAGGATAGAGAAAATTGCAGGAATGGGATGATGCCATTGCAAAGCCAGGAAGTCCAGATACTGAGTGCATGTTCTAGGAACAGCAATAAGGCCAGGATCATAGAGATAGGAGAAAAAGATTTAGGAAAGGAGAGGCAATGGAAGTTTAGAAGAAGAGAAGGCAGACAGCAAGCTAGAGAAAGGGATCGATGAAGAAATCAGAGAAAAGATGAGGCCTGTAGAGGAAGGAGATAAGAGAAGAAATGTGGGTGAGTGGGTGAGGAAATCATTAGCTTAACAAGTGAGAAGGAACTCTAGGACCTTCCCTAACACTCCCTCCAGTAAGGATAAAACTTGAGCAGCTAGAACGGATTGGGAGACTTGTCAGCTGACTGTCACAGACACCCTTACTCGTGACCATATATCCAGCTCCCTTCTTCCCTCTCTACCCTGGAGACTAAGGGTTTCATTCCATGCTTTGCCAAGACTCTATCAGACTCAGCTCACCTAGGGGATTTAGGAACTTTGATCTCCTTGACCCTCCCCCCTCTCCCGCTCCATTTCCCCCCCCACTCCCATTTTCATTGTTGTTCCAACTTCATCCACTTGGTAAAGTCACAGGTCAAAAACCCAGAGTTCCTGAGTTTTAACTCTAGCTGGGTCATTTAAATGCTACCTCTAATTCTCAGTTATAGTATCTTTATCTACAAACCTCCTGCAAGCATTTCAAAAAATAACAAAAGAGATTAGAGCAATTGTAAAGTGCCTTATAATAATAGGGAACATCTAATTCCTAACCCTCTTCTAGAACTGAGTTCCTCAAAATTCCTTTAAGGAAAGAGATTTTTCTTCAGGGTCTTTCTGTCCTTTCATGTAATTGCCAAGTTATTACTTCCTTGCCCTTGCTACGCAAAGCTCCTGATCGTTATTAAATTCCACACCAGAAGAGGGTGTAATGCAGTGGTGAGAATGAGCCTTGCCCAGCGTAGAGAGGTAGGTGGGTTTAGGCTGAACCCCTGTTTGAACAATCCATTCAAAGGCCTAAAACAGAGGCATGGAATTAGAAACAGAGGTTTTATTGTTAAGACAGATAAATCACCTCATCAGGTAGAATCTAGGTGGTTTTTAAGGACTCACTGAATATGTATGAGTGTATGAGAGAGAGAGAGAGAGAGAGAGAGAGAGAGAGAGAGAGAGCTCATGCAGAAGAGAGGAAGCAGAGAAAAAAAACAGAAGTGATTGATGGAGACAAAGAAAGAATAAAGAGGACCTAAGGAACAGTGGCAGAAACGTATCTTGATAGATAGAGGTAAAGAGAGAGAGACAAAGAGGCAGAAAAAGAAGAAAAACAATGGAAAGGAAGAGTGAGGGGGTTGGGTAATGGATCCAGAAAAGGAATAAAGAGGCTGAGAGGAAGCTGACACAAAACAGCCACTGGAGCACGCAGATGGATAAACAGAGAGAAAAGAAGAGAGATACAGAGAGGTAGGCATAGAGAGGCCCTGGCAGCAGAGCCCTGTAGATTTCTGTGGGGAGCAGATGCTTATATGGGAACGGCAAATGACGGTCCCAGCACGGCCCAGAAGCTCCCAGAGCCACAAACATTTCATTGACTCCAAGCCCAATGCAGCTTTGTCCTCATCTGGACTGAGCCCAAAAGAGCAATCAATCCCCTGGTCCTGGGAACACAGGATTAAGATGGTAGCTCCAGATGCTTTGGGGAGCTCCTTTCTCATCTTTCACTCTCCCCAGTGGCTCCACCTTCATCTTGACTCATGTCCTCATCCTTGAAAAGAGGGTTATTTCATCAGCTTTCAAGTCATACCTCGGAGGGTGAGTCATTGCCATGGGTATGCTTTGAGATCCTATGGGGCAGAAAGTGAGGGGTGGGGTGGGAAGAGAGGGGAAGGGGAAGGGAAGTGAGAGTGACTCAAGCTACTTATTACTAAGAACTGAAACATTCCAAGTGTAAGGAATAACTGATTATGTCATTTTTCATCTTTCTATCCCTAGCACCCAGCAGAGTTGAACAGAAAAGGGGGTACTGGACTGACTCAGTCCCTATTCTTGTGATGCTCTTTGGCCCAATTACTCACTTATTACCAATCTTACCATTAGTCATTCTCTTCTCCCTTAACTTACCCCATCCTAGCTCTCCACCCCTCCCTACCCCCAACTCCTGGTCATTCTTGCCCTTGTCATAACCATTCTATTTCTCTATGTATACCCAGTGATGCTGGACCAGAGAGACAGGACAACCTCCCTTAGATAGTTGCTCCTACCTGCTGTTCCCTTACCAGTCCACTGCAGCTGAGCGCATGGTCCATCTACCAGGCTCCACTGAGGATGAATTTCCCTGGAAGGGAAGAAGACCAGGAAGAGCCTAGAGGTATGGGTGGCAGTTGAATGGGACCTCCAGGGTGAGAAATGGATGAAGCAGCATCACCCAAAATCCAGTGGCTCACTCAGAATCTGGATTTTTTTCTCTACTCTAAACACAAACCCACCCCAACCTTGACCCCTTGGTTGATGTTTGTAGGCTCAAGAAACTGACCTGAAGTCCCGGGCAGCAAGGTCCATGACACACTCCCATTGGCTGGGAAATTGGGGCTCTTGTACCCAAGGCCAGGGGAAATCTCTGTGTGGCTCAGAGCCAAGAAGGAAAGAACCAAGAGACAGAGAGGGAGGGAAGAACCTGGGGGGGAGGGTGGGAGAGGGGTATGTAGTGTAAGGGTGGAGGATGGAGGGTGGAGGGTGGAGGCACAGTCTAAGTGAAAGACAGGTACAGAAGGAGACAGATGGACCAAGACGCAAACATAAGTTAAGTAGGAAGAGACGGATAAACAGCAGACACAAAGCAACCAGCCAAGCATATGCTCCTACAAGCAGGCGAGATGGGCAACTAGTCAGGACAGAGAGGGAGGAGAAGAGAGAGGGTAAGGAGCTGGAGAGAAGGAGCTACTTTTGCTATGGTTTAGACCTCTGACTGCTAGAATAATCATGGCAATGGAACAGTCACTCCAATACCATTCTATGAGGCCCAGATAAAAAGCTGAGTTACAGCTATTACTAATGGGAGCTGGGGGGGGGGGTGAAGGGAAAGAGGAAGGAAGAGGAAGAAAATGGTCTGGGTAAGCTGCAAGGAAATCTGCAATGTGGAGAACCACCTCCATGGACTTCTCAGCACCAATACCCCTTCTCCCCTTTCCTCCCACCCCCGACTGCAGGGTTCTGAGGACTCAATCAGGGCCCTTTCCTCCTCAGGAGAAGAATCACTGGGCTGGGGAGATGGGGGAAGGGGAAGAAGGAAGAAGAGACACCCAAAAGCCCTGTCCTCATACCAGAAAAGAAAGAAGTGAGAAACCCTGAGAAGTACTTGAGTCCTGCAGAGGTCTGTTTCCTAGCTAATTACACCAATCGCAGCTGGAGCCCTCTGTCAGGATGATGTCATCCCTCAGAGCAGGGAGGGGGAGTAAGAAGAGGGAGGGACCTCAATCTTTGCAGGCTCCTACTCCAGACCTCGCTCTCAGCTTCATCATCTAAGTAGCCAGGTTCAATTTGGCTATCCTCCCCCAACCCCAGCACCAGCTTTTAATCCAAGACTGTGGCAGAGCTGAGAATATATATACTGGAGCTAGAAAGAACCTTGAAAGCCATATACTCCAAAGCCCACATTTTACAGAGCAGAAAACCGAGACTGAGAGAGGCTTAATGAATTGCCTAACTTCACATAGGTAAGAAGCATCAAAAGCAGGTACTTTGAGTCCAGAGATGGTGCTCTTTCCACTCTGCCACACTGTCTCCTAGTTTGGGGTCATGGATTAGAGGATGGCTACACGGTGCAGTGGATAGAGTACCACACCTGGAGTCAGGAAGACCCATCTTGATGAGTTCAAATCTGGCCTCAGACACAGCTGTGTCACCCTGGGCAAGTCACTTAACCCAGTTTGCCTCAGTTCCCTCATCTGTAAAATGAGATGGAGAAGGAAATGGCAAAACTCTCCAGTATCTTTGCCAAGAAAACCCCAAATGGGGTCACAAGGAGTCCAACACGACTGAAATGACTGAACAACAAAGGAGTAGGGGGAGCCAATTGGAAAAGAAAGGGGTATAGGCATAGGGTAGACCTAGCTAGGGACCATGACTGCCATGTATACTATCACTAAATGAGGAGGGGGCCTGAAATCTCAAAAATCTTCAAGCAGCACTCAAGAGCCCAATCTCCTGCTGCAGCAGCCTCAGTCAGGCTATAAACAAGTTTGTATAAAGGACAAACTCTGAATATCTGTGTGTCTGTGGGAAAAGTACTGTGCTCCTGTGTTTAACAGGAGATAAAAAAAACAACAACAACAACAACTCTGGCCTTAAGAACCTTCATAAATAACTAGGTACACACAAGATATATGCAGAGCAAATGATGGTACTTGGAAAGGAGAAGACATTAGCAATGGAAGGACTAGAAGAGGCCTCCTGCAGAAAGTGGGCTTTAAGCCAAGTCTTAAAGAAAGCCAATGAGATGAAGGGAAAGAGGGAGGAACCTTCCAAGCATGAGGTATGGTGATGGGGAGGGGGGTAAAATGTCACATTCAAGTAACTATAAGTAGGCCAAAGTAGTTGGATTATAGAGTTCCTGGAGAGAAGTAGGGTAAGGCTGGAAAGGTAGGTAGGAGCCAGGTCAATTCCCAACCAAGAACTTTATATTTGGTCCTGGAGATAACAGGAGGCCATTTAGAGTTCATTGAGGGGTGGTGGAGGTGACCTGATCAGAACTTAGAACAGTCGTCGTGGAAGCTTAGTGAAGGATAGATTGACATGGGGAGAGACTTGAGATAGGAAAACTATTTATAGGTCTCATTCAGTAATCTAAGTGAGAAATAATGAGGACCTGAACTACAATGGCAGCTATATGAGCGAAAAGAAGGGAACGTAAAGGTACAAATGACACGATTTAGCAAAAGATTTGTTATTTGGGGTGAGTGTGAGTGAGGAGTCGATGGCACTGAGGTTGCAAGCTGGGTAACTAGGAGGGGCAGTAGGACCCTCTACAGTAAAGGGAAATTTTAGAAGGGAGAGGTTTTGGGAAAAAAGGTAATAAATTCTGTTTTACATGATTGTACATATATAACCTATATCAGATTGCTTGCTGTCTTAGGAAAGGGAGAGGGAAAAAAATTTGGAACTCAAAAATTTTTTTTAAATGAATGTTGAAAACTATCTTTATATGTATGTAATGGGGGGGATAAAATACTATTAAGCAGGGGAAAAAAATTTTTTTAAATAAATTCTGTTTCAGACATATTGAGTTCAAGCTGTCCAAGAGGCAGCTAGAGATGTCTGTCTGAAACTCAACAGAAAAACTAGGACTGCGTGTGTAGATCTGGGAATCATCTGCATAGAGATGATAATTGAACCAACTGGCACAAATGAGATCATCAAAATGAGATAGTATAGAATGAAAAGAGAAAAGGGCCCCAAGGTAGAATGTTTGCCTTGCTGTGGTGAGGGCCCAGTTGAGATTAAACAACATAAATTTGTAGTGGGACTAGCCAGCAGTTTTGTCATTTTCTCCAGCATTTTCCAGAAGCTTGAGCATAAGATTAAAGGAGGCAGATCCTAGGAATAATCCAGGATTGGTGTGTGGCAAGGTGTGAACATCCACAGGCCAAGTGGGTAAGGGGAATAGAGGGTAGAGGATAGAGAGCTAAGTTGGTTCACTAAGGGATAGAGGTAGGGAAGGGAGGAGAGTGTAACCACTGCCAGGGGTGGAAGGAAGAGAGGTCATATCAAGGATGAAAAACAGGGTTAGGGGTCATAAGGTATAGAGAAAGATGAAATGATAAAAGATTATAATCAGATAAAGGAATTTTGGAGTTCATTAATATGGAAGTAGAATATTCATGAGAGATGACAAGGTCAAAAGACATCACTGTGAAGCTGAGGTGGAGTGGAAGAATAGGTTGTGGGAAAATGATTACATTGAGGAATTGGGAAGTTACAGAGTTTGAAAGGGCGTAAATACACATGTTGAAGTCCCTTAGTATGAGCATTAGAGATGGAAAGGAAAGAGACTCTGATCCTGGCACTGAACTCATTGAGCTAGGAATGAGAATAGCCTGGAAGTCTATGGATACAAACCACCAGAATCTGGATTGGACAATAAACTTGGATTATATGAACATTAAAAAGAGAGAGAGTGCTTAGTGAGGGTGGTGGAGGAAGAGTCTGGAAGTGGCAATGGGGAGCAAGGAGTATTCAGACTTCCCCTACCCTCAGTGAGTCAGGGAGCATAAGAGAAAGAGGGTATAGAAAGGGTGATGAGAGGGGCAGCTAGGTGGCACAGTGAATAGAGCTCTGGCCTTGGAGTCAGGAGGACCTGGGTTCAAATCCAGCCTCAGACACTTAACACTTACTGGCTGTGTGACCCTGGGCAAGTCACTTAACCCCAATCACCTCACCAAAAAAAAAAAGAAAAGAAAAGAAAAGGTGATGAAAGAGTTGGTATCATCAAAATGTGTCAGTGAGAGCCAGAAGGTGAAAGGAGAAAGAAAGGGTTCTACCTCTGCCCCTGTCATATGTCCAAAAACACACATCAATTTTGGGCAAAGAACTAGGTGTCTCTCAGTTTATTCTTCCCAAAACAACACAGCCAGGAAAAGAAGCAGCAAGAGGTGGGTACACTTCCGGTTGGTATTGAGAGGAGATTCAGGCTTCCATTTAATCTGGAAGTTTTGCACAACAAGCCAGCTTTCCCCCAGGCAAGCTCTTTTTGCCTCTCAGCCACTCCTGCTGGACACAAGCCTGCTCCGTGCTGGCTGCTGGATGCCTTCCAGAGCTGGCATAGGAATAGGCATCTGCTTTTTACCTCCTATCTCCCAGCACTGCCCTAACTGGTGCCACCAGCTGAGGGTTGGGGTATTGAACACTACTCACCATGGGCACAGGCTGAGAATCCCCACTGCCCCTAATGAATACCAAGGTGGCTCTGAGGATTGCCTAGGACAACTCACATTCTTGTCCTGGGGTGACTTTAGTGAGGGAGCCAGCCACAGGGAGTCTGTGATCACCCCAAGCCTCAAGTCTCTTGTCAGCTACTTGGCATAGCCACTGAAGTCCAAGAGCACAAGGGAGCTTTTCCCAGGTATAACCCCCACCTCCTCCCAAGTCAAAGAACCAGGGCACATGTGCACCCATGTGTGCAGGGCAAATGCCGCTTGTTTGCTCCACCCAGCTTAGTGCCAGGACCTTCTCAGTCCCTGCTAAGCAGTTGGCTCTGTAACCTAAGCATCTTGGGGCGGTTGGCAGGAAGCACACAGAGCCTTGGAATCAGACTTCTCTGCTTAGTCAATGAGCCCTGGACCAGATGCCTGTCTTCACTGAGGCAGCACGGAATCTTGTCGGAGTCTTAGGAGTTGCCGCCTCTTCTGTGTTCCTTTTCTAGCTTTCCACGTGCCCACAACAGAGCCATAAGTAGGGTAAAGGGACAAGGACTTTGCTCCAGGTCACTGACATATAAGAAGATACTTCCTCCTCATACCTCTCAGTCCATTTCTTCAATTAGCCTAGACACCACCCTTAAGGTGATCACCTCTCCCTCCTCCCCCACCCTCATCCCCCCCAATACACACTCCCCACACTAACCTTTAGGAC